TTTCAATGTGGCTCTACAAAGTAGTTCGATTGAACGAGCCCTCATCCTCGGTGGTTATAAAAATAAAACAAAATACAAAACTGTTACTGACGTGTTAATACCGTTGAATATCCGAGGTAGCTTTCTTAACTGTTCTCCAATTCTCTTTGTAATGTTATAACAATATATTGAATAGATCTTAGATTCATTATAAAAATATCATGCAGAATTAGCAAACATGCGGGTTATATCTAAAATCATATACAATATGATAGCATTTGAAATTCATATATTCAAATGTAGGTACTGCATCTCCAAATCCACCAAATTCATGCACTCGTTCATTCCATCAACCAGTTGCCTCAACAATTTTAAATTTTTTATTTTAAACAACCTTTCTTCTCAAGATACAATATAATAATGATTTTTGAAGGTAAGAAAACATTATTAATACTAATTATAAGAGAAAAAATAAAAAAGCACATAATAGAAATTACAAAATTTTTATGAAAATATTTTTGCGATAATAAAACAGAATTCGGAAAAGAAATTGTCATATTTCAATGATTTTACATCTTGAATATCGTTTTAACAATTTCCTATCATCTATTTCATTCAACAAATCCACGCATATCAATCAAAGAACATTATATAAAAGGGTAGCCGAAAGAATACTTTTGAAAAAAGTACGATTGACGGCTATTGACTCTACTTTGAATACGTTCCATCTTACGCTGCACTGCATCCACTTTTAGTAGTTGTATGCGCATACAATCCGCCTGCATTTGATCACGAATTAAAGGGAAATTGAGATCGCTGATCTCGAACGTCCCGCTCGGATCATATAGCAGATATAGCTGTACAAAGAGGCGCATTCCCAGAGCACCTCTCTTTTAGATTGATCTAAACAGAAAATGGTAGATCTTCGTGACGGCGACGAAAGGTCAAAGCCACTCAAAGCTCGCTTACGCTGCTTACCGCTCGGCAAATTGTGCTTGAAGATGTTTTACGTACCTCCTAGCTCTCTGTCGTAAGCTTGCACTCTCCCTTTTTCTCTTGTCGGATATTCCTGTAGGATGTAAGGGAAACAAGCAAAAAGTTCGGAGAGGAATACGCGAGAGAGATGCTGCCCCGTCTTGTTCCTTTCGCTATTCGTACGCGCTGATTTCTAAGCTGGCGCAACATTGTGAGCGCCGTCCTTTCTTGCTTCGTAATTTCTCTTGCCTGCGGTAGGAAGAGCGAGGTGTTTCTTGCGCTTGGAAATTGTGGAACGAATTTGGTTATCTCGCTGCAGATTGCGTCGATTGTTCTTAGTGACGTGTCGTGTGAAAATTTTAGTCTAATTTTAGTAGTTTGACTTCGACGATAAGACGATTAAAAGCTATGTACTTGCAGAAGGGTCTATCTTCAACTTTCAAAGACGCATATGACGGGGCGCTTAATTGTAAAATAGTGTATAATGTAAACTTGAATATGAAATCCTTTACAAATTAAATTAAATTTATTATATATATATGTTAACTAATTATATTATACAATATGTGAGTAAGTCGTTTGACATCGTCGATTACAAATCTGAGACCCATCCGTATTATGGCTTACTTTTTATTTAATATAACGTTGTTAATTGCGTTTTCCTCTCTGCGTCTAACTGACATCTTTAAGACATTTTAAGATTGGAGAATTGTAAAAAAAAAAAGAATGAGATGAGATCTCCGTCGATTTTAAATATGGACCACATGTCATTGATACAACTGAATTCTGTACTGGACGTTATAATTTAGCTAAATCTTCCGAGAATTTTATAATTTTGTTTATTTTGCATTGAAAATGACCTGATCGGGGTCGAAACGTTCGTTTGCATGTATACATGTATGTAAGAAATTTTATTAAATATTCTTTGTTATAACTGGCTCATAGCCCATTCTTTTTACTACTGAATTATATTATTATTAATTATTTATTCTTTTTTAATTAAAACGAGCACTCTAAGAATGTTATCGTTTTACGTAAAATACAAAATTTTATTGCCGATAAAATATTTTTTTCTTTTTTACTTTTCTAATAACTAGAAAGATCACTAAGAGAAAAAGATGACACCGTCTATCGTTCTAATTTAATCGCGTATGCTTCTTACATCTACATGCTATGACCAGTTAATAATATTATTGTCATTAGAATAAGCTATTTTAATTTATTTAATTAAGCATCGTTAACAATACAATCATAAGTAATTTAATGCTGAATGTTATCATACTATCGCCGTAATAAAGTGACATGATAACACGTCGAGCACGTAATATTCCTACTCTCGTAATCTCGGTTGCAAGTCAAGTCTTCGGAATTATAAGATTTTCGTGGCTAAGTTACGAAGGATTCTGACCCCGAGAGGCCAAACGTAAAAGCTGCAAGATATTTAATTTTCTCTGACGGAGATAAACTATAAAAGGTACGAAACAATCACTATGGAGGGGGAAGAGAGAGAGAGAGAGAGGTATGAACGATAAAATAAGTGTACATATAGGGATACGCGAGCATATTTCTAATTCACCTAAGAGCCTCCTATATATATTTCTTGCTTTCTGTTTCTTAAACGGAAAAATTATAATTGGCTTTCGGAATATCATCGATTTTAAATAATTTTCGTTACAATATTCTTAAATTTAGAAATGTTAAAATTTAATATCATTGATGTATTAATTGATAATTTCTATAAACAAGATATATTTTATAATTTCTAATTCAATATTCTTTGAGAGACTTACCTATCAATATCTTATGCTACTTTGTAAACTATAACATTACACATATACTACTTATAAATTTTATATAAATTAATTAAAAATAAAATTTACTGATTATAAAAAAGTAATATTGTAATTAATTAAATACAATTTTTATTATAGTTGCAAAATGCTACATTTGCAGCACTTATGTGACAATTTTTTTTAGTCACATATTACATAAAGCTTTTATTGCAAATAAGGAATATTTAGAGTATTATTTCAATTAGATTGAAACGTATTGTATATACACATTTTATGTATGTATTTCAGTAAAAGATAAGATATTATCTGATGATATTTCTGTACCTTACAGACATATATCAGAATATTTTGTGAAGAATTGGCAATGGATAGTAAAATTGTGAAATATCTCCTTTTCCAAGCAATAGATTCCAGGAGCGGCCCAACAGCAATAATAGAAAATGGAATAAGTTCGATTCTTATATAGAGCACGTTGGATCAAAAGATCAACCCTTATCAATCGCTTAATATCTAGAATTTCAGACTTCGCCTATCCAAAGCGCGGAAGGATCATATCATTCTAAAACCGAGATGATTTTCAGAAGGATGCAATGGGGAATAATTAATGAATGGAATGAGAGTATCCTCTATTCGGAAAGAACATACGCCATTGCTAAGACTGGAAGTCCGATAGCGAGTCCCCCGATAGGGAGGGACGCCGAGGACGTCTTGTAGGTGTGCTAGTCAGAGGCACGTACTTCTATAATTGTTAGGGTGGCTCGGAGACAACCTTTAACGGCCGTCTCAAATACTACCCCTGTGAGCCTGGGGAGACCTAATGCGTTTTTCCAATCCGATATACGTGTGCCATTGCTATCGATTAAATAGTACCGATGTTGCGTCGGCCCGAAGCGTTTGGAGGGATTCGAGCAATTCAATAAAATGATTCGCCACGATCTGACAAAATTTCCCTCAAATTGGGGGAACTTCTATTTTATATTAAACTCATATATGGCATCACTTTAAGAGAGAAGCGTCGTACAATTTACGATTGAATAAAATAAAGATTGAAACCGTTCAGCAATTTATGCGATAATACATTTTTATTTGATATGCTAAAGATGAATAAAACAGCTATTAAATTAGGGAATTTTGTTTGTTTCTAAAAAAAATAGAAAATGCTAGAGAGAGAGAGAGATTTTTTTATAAAATTGAAACATCCTTAATAGAGTCCTTAAATCTTAGTAAAATATTTGAAATATATAGTTCTTATTTCATATTATATTATATTACCGCGATTATAGCGTGTTAATCCACAAAATCCGAAAGGTTAAACCGCGGAAACCGTTTATTATCGTGCTTAATAGGCGATGTTGTAAACCACGAAAATGTAATACCTCATTTGTAATGCCATACACGCTGACATGTATGCACCAAGCTGCGACAAATTTCAGATTACACTGCAATTTTGATGTAACGGTGTGGTAATTCAGTTATTATCACAGGCAACGTGCTTGATCGATCAACAATTGACGATGGAAACGATCGAATGGAATATTTATTGCGACACGGACCGACAATATTTAACGTTTGCGCGGACGAAACGTTACACATTACGCGTGTTTGCGCTGGAAGCATTATAACAATGGACGAACAGATCGTCCACGCATTACATGCCTATGCGGTCATGGAAGTTATTGTTAAATTCGAAATATTTTCTATAACGACAGACTGACAGCTAAACTGACCGGAAATGGACATTGCTTTTTAAACCTACTCGGACAGCAATATCAGGAGTTAATGACGGACGACATAATTGATCAAATAAATGGTTGGATACCGATTAACTAAGAGTCGATTAATCGCGCTATCGACTAATTGCCGTCAACTGATGAATTGAGGGAGACTAGATCCAATCGGCCTTCTCCTGCCACTCTATTTCGATTACAAAACATATCTCCCGGAAATATCTAATCATCTAATGTAATATTGTAATAGTGTAAAGTAATATCTTTGATTAAAATTGAATTGTCTATGATAGGAAATCCTATCGAATTTTTTAAATATAGGGAGTTAAAAATTTTCTTAAAGAACTTAACTTGTTTAAAGCCTTTCCTTGACATTAAATGCAACTTGTTGCAACTGTGATACGATAATATTTTCCTAAAACAATGAAAGTGCAATTCCGATAATCGCATTAATTATTCAGATAAGCAAATCGATGGACGGAACTCGAGCGGATGGAGTCTAATCGGGCATTCACTTTGCTTGTAGATTTCCTGGATACGTAAGAGGGATTTGCATATTCTGACGTCATCGATCCTCGCTTACACGGGGGACGCAAGATTTTCCGTTAAGCATCCCGAATCATCCGACGAATGGACGCTGAGGATCGAGTACATCCAACCACGGGACGCCGGGATTTATGAATGCCAGGTTAACACCGAGCCCAAAATGAACTTAGCCTTCATGTTAAAAGTCGAAGGTAAAATCAAGGTCGTAAAATCTTTAGAAATTCACCAGATAACCCTTTTACGGATCGCTTAATTCGGAAAAAGTATACACTTTCCAAACAAGTTTTATCACGAGACAAGAAAAGACAAAGAAAGAGATAGAGAGAGAAAAGAGAAAGGAACACTCAACTATACTTAAATACATATTAATGCACTAAACATATTATAGATTCGTAAATTTTTAATTTTTCTAACATTATATGTAGAGTGTTCATAATATATTATATACATTATACCTTATAAATCTGAATAGGTATTTTATTATAATTCATTTTACTACAATACATTAAATTCATAACTTCTAAATTAGCTTTTATTTATTTTAATTATATATATATAATATAAGCAAAAAACTGTGAAAGGGTTAAGCTAAATCCCGTAATAACTCTATACCGTTGTAAATATATTTTACGTAATTTTACAATAGGTGAAAGAATATCTGAACGCTTTCATAAGTGTCTATCACCTGATTGATCAGGAATGACACTGCTGGATAACTCGAATACGCACCAGCATGACCAAAGTGATTAATGCTTCCGCTTGCATGTCTGTGACGTGAGGAACATCCTAAAGTATCGATTAGCTTTGTTGCATCTATCTATTCTCTGATCGAGTGATGGCATAATATTGCAGTTACTTTAATTATTACCAGCGCACAGTATCGATTTCGTCTTTCAATACGTAAAGCACCTATATATATATGTATGTACCATATATATAATCACTTAATACAAAATTAATAAAATATTTCGACAATTAAAATTTCTCTGAGACGACAAGAGGATTCAACACATTTTCTGGGAACGAGATAAATTACAGACTCCATTGTATAAATCTACAGGATATTAAAATATTCAAAAGTTGAAAAATAATAATATATAATATATAATTTTATTTGCTTATTAATAAATAATAATATATAATTTTATTTGCTTATTAATTAATTCGGTTTGATAATTCGGTTATTGGCTTGGTTCCGAGAGATTTTAAATAGGAATTTATTGAATCGTTATAGTTCACACAATTCTGTATTATAGTAGGTTAAACAATTTAATAAAATCGATAAACTAGAACCCTAATCGATCGAAGCTAGATCTTAAAATGCTTAAATAATTCAATCTGTGTGGAATCACTAAATATGCTATCGATACTACTACATATCGATTGTGTTCTCACATGTATGGTCTAAAAATTTAGAGATTATTATTGTTTATTACGTCGCCCGAAAAAGACGTTGTTTCCTTACATATATCGATTATTGCAAAGAATATTACTAAGGCCTCGGTAGTCTAATGGCTTAGGACGCTCGTACGGAATACAAGAGATCCGGGTTCGACTCCCGGCCGAGGTAATATTTTTCGCAATAAATTTAATTACAGTTTTTTCAGCATATTAACATCTTTGGAATATGATGCCTGCAGTTTGAGCATCGAAATTATTAGAAATTAATTTAATTCGCGAGATTACTACAGTGGTTGAATTGCGTTTATATAGTTCGGAAATTTTTCGGCGCGCAGTTTGTTAGACTACAAGTGTAGTATACATGTCAAGTACATATACTCGTATAGCATATTTAGTGATTCAAGATTGAATTATTTAAGCATTTTAAGATCTAGCTTCGGCCGATATAGAGTTTTAGTTTATCGATTGTGTTCTCACATGTACGGTCTAAAAATGAGATTATTATAATTTAATAAAACATTAGATTAAAAGAATCTCAACAATATCTTGACTTACATGCATAAAAAACGAACGATAAAAGAAACAGAACTGACTTTCAGGAATATTCTTTGATAGAACCAACGTTGAGAAATATTCTTTATATTCGATATTTTGCAGGCATACGTGATCCATATATGTATACTGATAGTGCTTTCAACATTAGTTCAATTCCTAACCCCCGAAGCAATAGGTATTGACGAAATCGATTAACTCGATATCTTTTCTGTCCTCCCATTCCAGAAAGTGCCCCTGTCCCTGCCATCACCACACCAAACGCCATTCACCGGACGTTCAACTCAGGTTAGACTCACGCAGAGAGCAGACTCCTTTTCCAAGCTATTGAATGTGCTAGCTGCTAGAAGTGTTATTCGCAATTTAGTTACGTGCAGTAACAGTGCATGAACGTTTTTTGTATATTTATGGCCAAGCCGCCACTGACGGTTTCCGTTCACCAATGAGTTGAGGTCGTAGCATGAGGAAGGTAAAACACGGGCAGCACTCTACTCTTCATTTAGGCGTTGTTACGCTCGGAACTGTCGGGCAAATTTTTTTTGCACAGATACAGCTGACGCTAACGCGTGCTAATTTTCCGCCGTAATATTGCGAGTCGTAAATATACTATGCGTTAAATGTTCAGTGGAACCGCGCGCCAAAACCTTTTTTGAAATGTTGAGAGCACAATGCAAGCGTAATGAGAATATTTCCCAGGCAATATTCGTACGGCCTCAACTTATTTAGACTTGTAGATTGTGGCTATTAGTAGTAGTTTATTGGTACGAAATTTTTGTACCCTTATAAATTGGAAAATGTTTGATTATGTCTTCAGATTAATCTTTTGTGAGTCTGCATGGTTTTCTTTGCATGTTTTTATGTGTATTCTAAATCCTTTTAACTGCAGCAATGATTTGAGTAATAAGTAAGTACTGAACTATTAACATAAAGATGCATTTTCTTGTTGTGCGAAAATTGTTATTAATAATAACAAATTCTAATGTATATTATTATTTTTATGCAATTCTTTCTTTTTCTTTGTATATCCTAGATTATTATCTTGCTGATTTAAAATCATCTATAAACATTTTTACATATCAATCTATTTCAATTTTAATTTATTATTGTACAAAAATCACTGAGAAATTCCTTTATTTGATCATTTATAAATTATGCTATGAGGTTGGAATCATCAAATAATTATTAAAGTTATTAGATTTAAAGTCATCGACTGTAATTAAAAATTTCTAAACAAGAAGGTCAACCACAAAAATGAGTTGCTTATATTGATTTATTTAATCGGCAATATTTTTAAACTCGTAAAATGGATAAATTTTATATCCTTATAGAATAGCTAATATTAAATAAATAATATTAATTAATATTTAACTGATAACTAACTAATAAACTAGCGGAAGGTTTCATCTAAATGAGATGTAGTATTCTAATCTAATTGATGTCAATGCAATTATGTTCTTTCTGTTGTGATGTTTGTGGACGACACAAAATGTATCAATTATGTTAATTGCAAATACGTGTTTATTACGTCCGCAGTTGATTTTGAAAAATTGAAAAGATGAATATGATACAAATCTTTTCTTTGATTATAATATAAAACTGGTAATATTTTAAGATATATAATATTGCATCATAAAAATTTACAACAGTTTCATGTAGAAATATAAATACATGGAAAAAGAGAGTTTTGATAATTAGCCAATTGTATTAGTATTTAATGTAATTGTTAATAGTATTAGTTTCAAATCTATTACGATTGTTTAATTGCTTAAAATTTCATATGAATAAAACGAGCACAGAAAGACACCTCGCTTGTATAAAGCTTTAGGCCATGCAAAGTAAATGAATTTAATTAAAAGCACGATTTGATGTTTCCATACCGATCGCAACTTGTCATTTAGCACAGATGGATACGGAATATTTAAGCGCACGGTTTCTAACGTGTGTTACAGCTGCTCAGGCGACGATCCTGGGGCCGGAAGACGTCTACGTGAAGAAGGGTAGCACGATAAGCCTCACGTGCGAAGTGAATGTGCGAAGTACACCTCCTAGTAGCGTTACTTGGTATCAAGGAGGAGCCGTGCTAGATTTTGACAGTCCCAGGTATAAACTGCAAGAATCGAATTCTCAGTTTTACTCTTCTCAATCAGCAAACAATGTTTTTAAAATTTTTTTAATATTTATTTTTCATTAATTATATATTGTACGTTTTATTGTGAAAATAATATTTATTAAACGTTTAAGTATTCATTTTATGTTTATTATATTTACTTGAAATAATAATTTAGACAAAATGTTTATTTAACATTTATTAAATATTTATTTTACATTAACTATTCATTTGAAATAATAACTTAGAAAAAATATGTATTTAATGCTTATTTAATATTTATATTAGATTAATTATTCAATTAAAGTAATAATTTGAAAGCATTTATTTAACATTTATTTAACATTATATTTTGATATTTATTTTACTTTAATTATTTAGCGAGCAGTACACGGCATCACCGCTAAATGAATACTATGATTCGTAAGTAAAAACTAACAATATAGAATAAAAGGCGCAACAATATAAGATTTCTCATTCATATATATTCTAATGAAATGGTACTGAAACGATACTTTCAAGGTAACTTCAAAGTTAGGCTTTAGATAAAAGTAAATAAAGTATTTTGACAATTCTGATACCTTGCTGACGACGATTGTTCAACCTTTTTTTTATTCCTAAAATTTCTATTCTTCATTCAAACGTTAAAAAAACGTTTCTTCAAACTTTAAAATAAAATATTTTTGAAACGTTAAAGAAATGGTTTTTCAAATGTTAAAATAAACATTTTTTTTTTATTTGAAAAAAGGAATTTAATCTATTAGTTTTAAAATGTTTTTAAAAATATTTTTTTATAAAAACACATTGTATGCTGATTGAGTCTTGCACCCCCCTTAATTCTTTTTCCTTCACGTATATATGCATATATATGCATTTATACATACATATATACATAAACAATTTCCATTCGATCGCAAATGTTACTGCTATCATCGCATAACCGGTGGAGATCTCGGTGATGGTACGTAAGTTCCTCCGTCTCGGTAAATGAGCAGGAAGGCTTCGGTTGAGTTTTTCGGGTCGCTACTTTGCGGTATCGTCGATCGGGCGGAAAGTGTTGGAGTACCCTACCTTTAATCTTTTCGTCAGCCCGTCAACTCGGGGAAGGATCGTCAAGAGTCGAAAAAGCAAATGATCCTTGATCCGGCAATTTTGTGCAGAATTAGTTCAGATAACGCTTCGTACGAAGAAATGTAAAAGTAGTTTATTTTCTACTTTTTCTCTCTAGCAAAATGTGTCACTTACAATGTCAAAGATTAATATAAGATTACATGTTAAAAATGTCACATTTTTGCAATTGTTTTTAGCATACACTGTAAAAGAATTGCAATTTATTACCGGCAATTAATTACTTGTAAAATTATAAAAATTATAATAATTTGAGACTAATTATTAAACGTATGTGTTTATATACGTAAAATAAAGGTACAACAAATAAATACAATTATTCTTCTCTATAATAATTAAACAACTTGCAAAAGTAAATTATAATTAAAGTTAAATTTATATAATTTTATTTACGTATTAACTCGCGAATAAATTACAACTACAATTTTTTTTAAACTATGTTATTGATATATGAACATAAAAATGGAAATATAATACGTGTAATATATATATATATATATTATATATCTACTATTATTATGTTATATAATATTTTACATATTTATGCATTTTCCATAAAAAATATAAAATATACTATTGATATTTCGTATGTAATTTTTGTTTTATATAAAAATATATATTTATATAACAATTAAAAATAAAAATATTAATTTTTGTAAAAACGCAGAAAATTTTATATATTCTACTATATAAACCGTATAATCTTTACACAATATAATTTGACATACTTTTTTACAATGTATGTCGTACGTCATTTTTATGAATTATATCTGATGCGAATGAACTTTTTATGTACACATTTATTTGTGCACATTTATCAACAAACGTTTGACAACGTGCGATACGAACGAGTTTGCGATACCATTTATGTTCCATACACGATTGAACTTTTTGCTGATGTTTCTGTAAGTTACGGCCCCTTCCCTGCAGAGAGAATTAATGACAAAGTAGCAATGTGTATGACGAGAATGGCGCCAAAGTATCTACGATAATTCAGTGTACACCGCAGGGGCGGCATTTCCCTGGAGACGGAGAAAACGGATACCGGGACGACAAGCAGACTACTGGTGACACAAGCCAGATTGACCGACAGCGGAAATTACACCTGCGTCCCTAGCAACGCGAATCCAGCGAGCGTAATGGTCCACGTGCTGAATGGTAAGCGAATTTCTATTTTCTTCTTTTTATGACATGAACTTATCCGGCAGCCCATCACCCCTCACGCGACATACCCGGCAACCCGGATATTCGGATACTCAAAGCTGTCTTAATGACATATCGCGATGGAAACGTCTGAATATCCGCGGTTGAAATTTTCAGATAACCCAGTGGTACTGGATATTTCTCTATATTAACCATTATCTCTGCCAAGTCCTACATGACGCGATAATTTGTTAAATTTGTTTAATTTTCAACCAACTAGAGATTACGAAACGAATTTTCATTATTACAGCCACAAATGTGACAAATATAATAATTATTAACTTTTAGATGTGATTTTATCTTATCAAATATATTACCTAGTCACTGCTTTCGTAAGAGTAACAAAACAATATGATACGAATTACATCATGTTGGCACTTGTACGAGAAACTGTAAGACGTTTAAATTGTAAGTTTATTGCTTTAAATATCAGTTAATTTCTATTCCGCAAACACGATATGCCGCATGCAAGCCAGACTCACACGATAAACAAAGTCAGAAGTAAGTTCTTGACAGTTTATGCGTTCCACATTATAATGTAATTCGCTTATGAACTAACCGAATAACGAGAATACCAAACAGCAATATTTTATCCGTCGTATAACCTTAATATTATTGAACAGGTTAGCAATATCTTCTTTATTGCCGCAGAACATTGTGAAGTTATTACTGGATAAAATCGAGAGTAGAGAGAGAATTAATGACCTTTTTTATTTATTTGCATAAATTACACAACGTTTCTTGTGCCACGTAACTCGATATACCATCTACTTGATATAGTCGGATTTTTCTCTTCTTCGTACTTCCTTTTCTTTTTTCTTTACATCGAGGAAGCACGCGCGAGTTGAGTCGGGTTGCTGCGTCATGTGCACGCCCTTCGATAAACGTCGCGTGCATATACACATTCAAGAACCATTGCATGCGGAAAAATCTCCAAGTACCGGCGTATAAACATTTCCATGTCGGCATTCTTGTAATATCACATTTTCATGTCCATCACATCACGCGATTCGATCAAAGTTCACGGTTAACTGCTTGTTTTAGATTAGAATGCAATCGGATTTACATTATGGAGGAAAAATTCCCACAATGTCTTTTTTCCTCCAGTTTTAAACAAGCTTATTCGATCGAATACACAATTACACATTAACTTGCGTATTTTACTAAATCCAATGTTTTGATTTCACCTTGGATTTTACCATTTTGATATAAATAACAATATTGAAATACAGTAAGTGTGCAAAAAATATTCATTCATACAGAGGAAATTTTTATAAAAAAAAACCTTGAATGTAAAAAATAAATATTAAGAAGAGCCTAAAAACGATTAATCATAATAAGTAGAACTTGCATACAGACGATTTACGTGCCACTGATATATCACTACATACTACTACATCAATCTCACACACACACACACACACACACACACACACACACACACACATGCACATAAATTTTCGTATAACAATAATGTTTTAATTACACATCTAAATCCAATTCTAAGAATTCCACGTTGCTTCTTCGCGCAAATTAATAGAGTCTGTGGACTACTATTTCGTAAATACAGACTGCAAGACTTTTATATGAAGCAAATGTCACGATGTATCAGCTTTAGAACGTCATATTGGACTAAAAAATGGTAAAGATCTCAATTTTATACAATAAATATGTTCCGTATTAATATAAACAAAAGAGCTTCGCGTTTTCCTGATCTTATAAGATAAATTTCTCGACTATACAAATAAATACTCTTTATGCGTCCAGATAATACTATTTTTTATTTTCGTTTATTTTTAAGATAATATATTTTAATTGCTACACATATTTTTTCAGGTAAAATAATTTTAAGAAATGTACTACAGTCTACTTCATTCTTTGTTAATAAATTCCTAAATATTGTTTACTTTTAAATATTTAGATTTTTTTTTTAATATTTTAATCTTTCCTTTTTGGCATCTCAAGTATTTCATTATTGTAGACAGTTCTGCTTGAATTAAGTTTAGCATATCCTTAGCTATTTTGTAGTAGCGGAATTTAGAAATTCAAAATGTCATCCTTTTCATTATCGCGCGACCCTTCCGAGGAAATTTGTTCAATAGGACAGCTTTCGAGAATAGCAAAATTTTCCAGCGAAATTGTGTTCGCACGACAAATTTCACATCAATAAACGCTCGCATATTCACAACCAAGTTCGGCGACAGGAAGCCAGCGGGCTCCTGAAGTGTGACATTCGAAAGGGACGGGCACGCGTTCATTCATCAAGTATCGAAATCCCCCGTCATAAAGTTTGACAGGCTCGTATATTGGAGTCGCAGCAAGTACTCGGCGTCGTGCCGCACGCATACTCTCGCTTTTGATCTATTGTCAGCCGGTAGCGCTCGCGATAACACATGTAATATCTTGTTCGGCAAGTTCACCAATCCAACCTGTCAATCATCACGAGCTCGCAGCCCCGGCACGCGTTTCGGGAAACTCGTGCTGCAGCTGCAGCCGTTCGAAATCAACATCTTTTACGCTTCCTTTGTTGTAATCGAAATCGACATTTATAAATAGATTTCAATAAAATTAGCAATAAGACTTTCCAATAAAAAAAACAGGATATGAACATAACAAATGTACGAAAAATAGTCTTAAATTAATATCCAAATTTACGTATATGGTGATATTTTTTTATACGATCTAGAATTGATCGTTTTAAATTGTTTTTATACTTTTTAATTCAATATTAAAAATTTTTTTTTTTTTTTTATAAAAATTCCAAGCAAATTTTATCTTTACAGGCCTTTAATTTAATTTAACCTTTAATTTAATAAAATAATTCTTAATATGGCTTTAATTTAATACTTGGCTACTAAACTATTTAAAAATTTTGAAAAACTGTTACTTCATAACATGATGATTACCAAAATTATGATTTACGATGTAAAAACTTATGATGAAAAATTGCAATCGTTTTAACCGATTATGCAGTCCATTATATTCGAAAGACACTACATCATCATCACTTTATTTGTGTGACGTGATCTACTCAATATTCAGTGAAAAACTGCATCGATATTTTGCAACTTTCGTTTCGCTTCATTTTGACATCGATGCTGCACGCGTCCTGCCAACAACGCAATAAATTTACAATACGCTAGCCTCCCTTCAATCCCCGATTAAATTAATGTTTTCGAATTCATAGCATCCCACGTCGGCAAGCTACAAAAATCAACAAAACCTTCCAGCAACCAGGCAACAAACCGCTTGCCGTGTACACCGCGCGCGTTTGCACGGCAATCGAATTGCAGAACTTAACAAGCTTTCTTCGACGGTTTCCACGGTTTCCACGGTTTCCACGCAGCTGTCCGCCCCGCACGGCCGTGGCGCGCTTTCCACCCTTCGAACCATCGAGACATCGATCGCGCCCACTTTCGTCCGGAAACACCCAGCGAACGCGCGCTCCGCTCGCAGAGCGGCCGCTTCCGGTGCCGGATGAAAATTAATGCGGCACAGTTCGTCTGCATAATTAATTTATAGGGCGCACCCGGTCGCCGCGGTCGGCACATTGGCCATCGACGTTATTTCAAACACAGCTGATTACTCTGCAAAATTGACCGCAAATTTCAATTATTTCTCGATAAACCTGTATGCGACCCGGGGGCTATCCGTTTTGGCACGTACTATCTGCGCATTAACGCAATTACGCACGTCGGCCATGCTTGCCTGTCGATATTTCGAGTGTTGAGCCGTGCCGGTATCATTTTTTGATAATGGACCATGTTAACGCGGCGTAACGATAAACTCCGTTCGATGAGATTTTCAATTTGATCATAAATTGCGACCTTACCGAAGGGACCGGTTACCGCGTCGCGGAACCGTCGTTATGCTATACACTGCCACCGGACCTGTGATTATCTTTATTGCCGCCGAATGTTACACGCGACACGACGATACCGCGCACAGTCGTACACAGAACGCGAAATTGTTGTTTCCTCGCTTGAACGTGGTGCTCGCCGTAGCTGCTGTTATTGCCGAACAAAACGATATTTCACCCGCGGTTCGTATCACGGCACGCGTTTTACCCTTTGCTAGGGCGCCTTATACGTACACGTTAAACGCGTTATTCCTTTCTGTCATGACGTGAAACTTTATAGTAACATGTGAAAATGCACAGACGATTTTATAAATCAATCGCGAACATACCGTGAGACTGTGAAAGATGACGTAAACGACGTTACTAAAAAAATATGGGAAAACATATTTCGATTTGTACTGAAAATCAACAGTTTAAAAATTGCTCGAGGAACGAAATTTGTAAACAAATATATCAAAGTTAACGCTATTATTTTATTGAGAGATTTTACAGCAAGAAATAATAAATAAAAAAAGAATATATAGATAATGCGGTCACAAATTATCGTCTCTGTATTGAAAATAAATATTTATGCATATTATATTGTACACGTGTATTATTACATAAAATTCATAATTTTTATTGTGTGTTCCTCTTAAATATATCTTAACTTGGATTCCAATGGTACATTTTTCTTATTACTATATGTTATAATATGTGATTTTCTAGAACTTTTTAGATTTAATATAAGTTTGATTTAATATAAGTTTGATTTATGTGTGAAAATGAAAAATATCTATTTCTTAAATTGAAAGTATAAATTTTCCTTTTTTATTATGACTTGTGTTGTTATTATGTATTATTTATAATCATGTATCAATATGTTAAAGTTTTTAGTTTCAAATGAAAATACAGATATTTAATATAAAGCATTTTATTTTCTTGATTATTTCCTCTACATAGGATCCAATTATTAGAACGAGAGAGAGAGAGAGAGAGAGAGAGATGTCGTTAGGCTGGAAAGTTCCTGCTTAACGTTTAACGCGTTACGAACGATTAACCTAGATTGTGAATCTAATTAGGGCTGCACAATTAAATTCCTGCGTTATGTAGCTACTCGAGATAATATTCTATGCGAAGAAACTGACGTGGTTTATAGATAACTGTAAAGAGCAATAGAATTTGCTTCAACTTCCGCGAATAATTTTCTATACATTACTTCTAACAACCATCAAATTGTATAATGATTTTACTAATTTTACTAATCGCAGAAAGATGAATACTAGAAATTACGTAAAGATATTTAAGATAGAAGATACAAAATGTTTGATTCTGTTATTTTTTTCAAATAGTTTTGCCTCATTATTTTGACATATATAAATGAAAAGGATGAAATTATACACTTATCGTGATTAAAAAGTATTCTTATTGTTAGTCCATTTTGAAAAGAATATTTTAGTAAATATCAATACTTAAATTGGTACTTAAATATTTAATGTTTGAAAAATTAAAGAGATAATTTAGTGAAGAATTGTTTTAACACCTTGCTTATTAAATTCAAAACGAAAAGTATGTTTCGTTTCGAAAATCTAATATACCTATATACAATATATAATTCAAATAAAATAATTAAAATAAAAAGAAACTCTCCGTGTTTAGATTTTTCTTTGCGTTATTCTTCTAAGACATTTAATTATGTTTAATTTTAAATATGTTATACATATATTATATACATTTATTAAATCTAATGTATATTAACTCTTAGTAATATACACACGATTTCATCCTTTACTACACATAATTGAGTTCGTGATCCGGATTTATTTTCATCACTTTAACAAATATACTTCAATCATTCAGTGACTCTGTATACTTTAACATCTTTAAAAAGTATTTGGAAGGTTGTGTATTTTAAAAAATTGTATATATGAGATCTGTCCTAAAAGTATCCGACCTCTGTGTATATCTTTGTCCTTGAGTATCCCCCCTCTTTCTCTCTCTCTCTCTCTCTCTCTCTCTCTCTCGCCAAAATGGATTTGAGAACGAAGGAACTAAAATCAATTTGCACATTTCTGTTGCAGGTGAACATCCGGCGGCTATGCAGCATGGTGGCAGCTGCGGCATGGCTCCGACCATTCTACTTGCCAGCATCACCCTCATAATTGCGAACCTGTTAAGGTGAGCAGCCGCGTCGTGAATCGCGCATCTTAAAAACAAAAAGAAAGAAAGTGAAACGTGTCAAAGATCGGGAGAGACAACGTCCAAAGTGAACGCAGCGATCGACGGTCGCGGAACGGTACACGCTCGGAAAAATCGTTCGGCCGACCGCGATAGATCGCTTTAGTTTACGCTTCGCTGTCACGCTGCGTGTATCCATTCGTTGAGTGCTCGGAACCGACGACAAGAGAATCACAGTGTGGACCGAAGTGCAGTGGACCAAAGCTCTGTGAAGGACGCAGTGATGTGGCGGACGATCTTTAGCACGTACGTTTTTAACACGAAAATCTTTCATAGACTCTCCATTCTTTTGTATAAAATCGTGTTAAATGCATCGTGGCAAAAATGCCGAATCATTCTCAACATCCCTAGTAGTATGATTGAACGTTCGCCAAAAGAACTTTCCTGCATTTGTGCTTTTTGTATAACTAAATCGGCATGTTGTCCGTGCCTCAACGAATATGCGTGGACTGTCTAATGATAAAACTGCTCATCTCGTCATTTCGTTGCGAGAACTCTATTAGAATTTGTATTTTAACTAATTTAATAATGGCCTCGTAGTATTCTACGTCGACCGATAGAACGACGCCGTATTTGGAAAGATCGGATTGATTGCATGATCTGTTGCTAATGCTTTCGAACCGAGTATCGATGGCTGGATCCGTTCGATGGCTATGAAATAATTATTACATGAATCGGAATTTATAATCTAACGATTATTATCAACTAGTTGAGTAATAATTATCACATAATTAAGAATCTTGTACATAAAACGAGTAATGAGCAGGTAGAATTTGCCGTGACCTTGTACAGTACAATGTACGTGCGAGAATTGCCACGTGATCGATAATTGTTTCTCGTCATTCGATCTGGGCAGTATTGTGTATATAGCTTATATCATTGGTTACGATATAATTGTATGGTATACATACAATCGTATATTTGCAAATATTCTAACTAAACCTTGTGCCTCGGGCACAATTCAGCATCTCGAACGTGCCAGATGTTTTTTGTATATTTCTTCAGTTATGTATGTCATAATAATAACTTTGCCCAGATTTGATTTATTCAGTTTATTCAGTTAAATGTATAATGTTTATTAATAAGAATGCGTTATAGTAAGGGATTGATTACTAAAGCGAGAATAATGAAGTGATTGTTTTTCAAAAGACTGTGAGAATATCAATATTTTATTGCAAAAATTTTCTGCATCAAATTATAGGTAAAATCCAAATTTTATGATATCAAACAGTAGATTATTATAATATCAACATTTATTATGTTAATATTATAATAATCTACTGTTTACGAAATCAAAATTGTTGTTTGTCAAATCGCAGTCTTTTAATATATGACAGAATTATTTAAAGGGTTGAAAATTTACATTAAGAAACTTTTTGTTTATAACATTAAAGTAAAATTTTAATCGACTACTGTTATATAAATGTAAATGTTTTTCTTGAATTTATGTTCCGAATAGGTATTTAATGTTATTAAACTTGTAAAAGACTATTTCTTTCTTTGAAAATCACATTTGAAATACAAAAATATAATTTTTAGGGAAGCATTTTTAACTTATATATAGAAAAAGGTTGATATTACATGGAAACAAAATTAATGTCTACATAAAATCTTACGTTTCAAAACAATTAATTTTAATATTTTATGTAAGTAATCGAACAATTGAAAGGCACGAATGGACATTATGAACAAATTAACTTTTACTTCTCTCAAAAAAAATTTTTTTAATATTCTATATATGTTAAAATATGTTTGTTTCCAATATCAGGAAAGAGTATTTATAATATAAAGAGTTACACCACCAAAGAATGGAAAAGCAACCAGAACTAATCACTTTAGTAATGATAGTAGATAGGTGATCTCGATATGTTTCTGTTTGTTTATTGTAAACAGGATTTTTTAAGCTAAATTCGTAACATCGACACATATGTGTCTTTATCGTTCGATAATCAAAATGCAATTCGTCGAAAGTAATGTTCCTCTTCCAAACTTGTATGTCACTTTATTTCCAATTTATTTAAATTTTCTATGAGAATATATCAAAGTAATTTTTTTGAAAATCAAAACGCATCAAAATTAATTCACCGATTAATCAAATTGTAATCAAGTGGACATCAACGATTATGGATAACGGATGTTATATTAAAATGTATTGTGAAGCTCGTGTATAGATAAGTGAATATATGAAAAGATAATACGTAAATATATTTAAATAGGTCAATAATAAGCGTTCCCGTGCGTTATGTATCATGATAATAGTGCGAAAAGTATAATTCAAAAGATCAAATGTAATTATAAATAAAATAAAGGTTTGTTTGCAGAACTATAATTAAAAGTCGCCTTTTGCTACGATAAATCACTTAACTCTCTATAAAATGTTCATAAATTGTTATTGATCACGATTATTTATTATTAAAGAATTATTTAATTATTTATTGGTTGCGGTTCATTTGATACTATGAATATTTCGAAGCGTAGATTTCTATTTCCTGATTGGTCAAATCGAACGCTTCAAAATATTCATGGATCGCAGCCTATATTATAAAATTGTTTAAATGTGTGTGCCTTATATGATATTTAGTTTTATATTTTTTAAAAAAGAAGTTAATAAAATTTTTTAATAAAAACGGAAATAAGATCTTTTGAGGAAAATAATAGATAACTTACTTAATTTTATAAATGAGTCAAATCATTATGTACATAACGGACATGATTTTGTTATTAAATTTTATTTCTACATTATTATTAAATTATAAAGCGATTTTCCAATTTTAATGTCGGATTCGATATTTCCATCAGATTCTACGAAAGATAAATACTTAAATTATTCGTCTTTCTATACATTTGATTAAATTGATTCAATCTTAATTATCTAACTAAGATAGCTCAGTTTATGACTTTTCAGATTAATTTCTTCCAAGACAGCTGCTTTTTTCAAGAAGAAAGAAATACGAGAAAAAAACGAAATCCTAGATATGATCATTGAATAATTCAACGCACGTAATATAGAATATAGCAGTAAATCATTAGATAGTAGATTTATTACGTAATATAATATGATATGAGTAAAGAAATATATCATAATGATTAAAATGTTAAGATACGATTTATCTTAGAAACCCATAGATTTTTTATAACATTATAGCTCGAAAAACACAAATTAGGATCTACCCGCTGAAGATCGTGAAACATTTCTAGATTTCACTTAGAATCGAGGGGAAATATCGCAATGCTTTCAATTTGTATATAATTTTTTACGTTATGATTTATATAAGTAAATCGGGTCATATATATTCCAAATGAAAATTGCGACTCATATAATGATGCAGAGAAAGAAAGAAAGAGAGAGAGAGAGAGAGAGAGAGAGAGAGAGAGAGAAAGAGAGAGAGAGAGAGAGAGACTGGCGTAATTACATAAAACGTGATCAAAGTGCAAAGTGAAAAATTTGTTTTAGATTGAAGAATCACTTTCATTGAGCTACTGGTGTGTGTTAAATCAATGTATTTAATCAATTTCAGTTCAATAGAAAAAAAAAGTTATATTCGCGATGCTCCGCGTTTTGGTGGTTTCCGATAGATTCCCACCGTGAGTTTTTTTATAGCACGAACTGTGGCTCAATTATAAGATTTAAAAAATACATTCCTGTGCATAAAACGTAAATCAAACAGAAAAATATCGAGAGGAGTATTTCTATTTGTAAACTATAGATAATCAATATCCGCGATTTGCATACTTACGGAATGTTGCACATTACATTAGGTAAGAGACTAGACTGCATTGTACATAAAATTCATAATCGATTATATATAATGTTATGGGAGAACTTAAGCATGAATCAAAAGGACAGAATTAAAAAAGCGAAAAAGCGACATAGAATACTATTGTAAAAATATTCATCGACGTGAATACTGTTTCAATAAATGTAATGATGATATAAAAAAACACAGACTTTCTATTTCGCTCTTCCTGTTCGATAGTTTTCATCAAGCGAGCGCGTACCTATCTTTTTACATAATATATAAATAAGATTTATATATTTATATATATATATCACATTACGGATTATGAAATTTTCATTTGATATTATTCCCATTCTATTAGTAGCTAATATTTTTAACAAAGCTGAAAAATTAATGTCTTAGTTTTTTATTAATTAAAAGGGAGATCGAACCTAGAGATTTTTATTTAAATTTCTGTCTTAAATAAAAAAAAACAAATTCTTAGAAGGAATAAATATATAGATAATATGTGGTTAATGGAAGTATTTTTTTTCATTTTATTTTATTTTTTTTTAATCAACTAACTTTCTGAACTGTGGATTATGATATATTTTGTATTTAATTCAATCTTCATCGTTTTTATATCTGGATTAATATGCATTGATCAAAACTCTGCGCACAGCATTTCTACATATAATATATGTACATAGAAATATTTATATATTTCAGTTTTTAATGAATACACGCACCGCCTTTTTAATTAAGTACAAAAACGGTTGATTTTAATTGGTACGCGGTTCATATATACCGATTTTTCTGTTACACATGCTGTACATTGCATGTATTTTATGCAAGGAATATACTAGACGGTAAAAACGATATTTGTATGTGCGTACTATTAACGTATGGAAAGAATCTTTTATTTATCATACATGGCTGCTTCGAAACTCATTATAACAAAATTAACGAAATTGCGGAGACATTCATAACGAAGCCATCACTCACTCTTAATTTCTTTAATGGCACTAATGGACTAATTGCACGAAGCAAATTGCAATTTTAATGGAATATCACGAAATAAATTCAGTGAAATTAAAATGAAACGGCAAGCACTGTATTGCATTGAAATATTTAAACATTAATTTGCTGCGCGTAACTTCATGTAGTAATTTATACAAAAGAATTATATTAAGCATTTTGTTTAGGAAATAAATTAGAGGGATGCTCTCTCTTTCCTGCATTTATATCGCCTAATACGTATGCTCTTATTGTTTTTAAAATACATTAATTACTTAAACGATAAAAAAACAATTATTTTTCTTTATCATCATTTATCATTAATTATTTGCACGTAATCGCGTTACTATTTAAAAAAAAAAGGAGTGATCACTATATCCGTTATTTTTAACGGACGCGGTCGAAATGTAGAATCGCAATCACCGAGCGGCCATTGAGCGACTTCCGGGCAGTGAATTCGTGCATTGTCCTGCAGTTTTTCTTTCCCAGCGCACGTGTGCGATGTTTCGCGCCGGAGTAACGGTAGATTGGGCAAAGAGGGAAAACTAAAACATAGTTAAACGCGATACGCACGAGGTAAGCCCCGGCCATCTACTACGTGTACCCGCTGTTTCCAACTTCGCCACACCGCCGCGACAATTAACGAACGTCGGGACGGGTCAGCGAGCTGTCGCACAATTCGCCGCCGATGCTGCCGATTGCGCCGGGAAAACGCGTCAAAACGAGACAGCATGAGAATTTCCAAAATCGAATAAACGGAACAACGGCAGCTGGATCGACGGAAGCCGAAATTGGGGAAGAAGAGAAATAGCGCTTGATAAGCGTATCTTGGGAAAAAAAATCTGTGGTAGAGGCGAATATCCAATGCTCATCGTTATTTTCTCTCTTTTTTTGCATGCTATGTACGAATATGGATGTAATGGATGACGCTGGAACTTGGACACGCGACATTGCATATGCGAAAGCGATTTTAAACGATGCATTAACTTTTTTATTCCAATAATTCCATGCGACATCACTTTTTTAATATCAATTTATTCGCGTATGATATTTAATATACTGTTTCGGAGACCGCAAAGATTTATTAAATTCTATCTATTTCAACAATGTATGTCCATGAAATATCTTGCGTAATATGAGAATTGGCGGAGAGTGATTTTTTTTAGTTATTTTAGGTACCAGTTTTTAGTTAAAGTTTTAACATATTTCTCTCTGATGCAGAAGCAATATTTTACACCTT